TCTTACACTGTGTTGAGCCCTCTAGGCTTAATTTGAAATTAATAGAAGTTGAATAGTTGGTGGAAATCTCTCTTTCTTAAGTAGTATTTTTATCAGGTAAAATGTTTCAAATTAAGAATTTAGATACTTATCAAAACATAAATATGCAGAGCACAAGAAGCAATGATCATTGAACAATAATCTAAATCTAAAATGATGGAACTGTGGTTACAAATAGTTAATCAATTTAAATGATCCTAAATAAAAATATAACCTCCTTTTTTTCCTAAGCAAAAACTTACGTAGAATAGAAACAAAGAAACAAACAGTTAATTAGCACTTATTTGGTAACGTTCGTGCTCTGGGGTTCTTTGCATAACTTGCCTACAGCCCAAGATGCCCCAAATTATTAAGTCTTGAAGTCAGTTAAAAAAACCCCAAAGCACAAAACCATGGTGTCAGTAATGTCTAACATAGGTTCCTGCTCTTTTATTTTTTTTACAGAGCTTGAAAACCAGAAAAAAAATCTGAAAACTTTGGGGCAGTAATTGTGGGAGGGATTCTGAAAAAAAGAAATAGAAGAAAATGCAGAAAATGGAGAACAAAGGCATACAATTTCTTTTCTTCATCAGTTCATTAGTTTTCCATTCCTTTTGTCTATGTACTAAAATGCTGAGATGATTTGTACGCGTATGTGCCATTAATTGACTAATAACCTTAAAATAGAGACTACTTAATATTAGATATAAGAAGAAGTTTATGGAAGAAATGCAGTTATGGGATTACAATAAGGATCTCAGCTTGAAAACAGAAGCCCTGCTGGACTTTCAGTTTTATTGCTACTACGTCATATAATTCACAGGTGCAGAAATATCACATAACATAGGGATTGCATCCAAGGATAAGGAAGGAGCAGTAGGAATAGATTAACTCATAAGAAAAAGATCTCGTTTCCATAAAAAGACCTTAATTAAAACAAAAGGGTAGGGAAGAGGAAAGAAAGGAAATACAGAACTCATGGAAACAGATTGCTTTTTCTGGCTCTATTTTTAGCAATTTTTGTGGGTGACAATTACTTTGGAAAAAGAGCTTCTCTCATACACCTTTTTTCTAATATTGAGCATGGTATAGTGTGTATGTCAGTATAAATATACATAGCTACATGGCTAATACTGAATTACTTTTATCATGGCTTCATTCATTACATACATTAATTCCCATTTAAACTTTATCTGCTCTTATCTTCTAAAGCTAAATATCTCTAGAGAGGTAATAGAAAATAAGCTGTATTTTTTTTCATTAGTTATAAACATCATTTGCCAATTTAAATCTACCTGGGCCTGGTTATTCTGTACCATTGTGGGTCATAAAAGCAGATGTGATTATCCAATCTCCTCTTGGGTAAAGAAACAAGTGTACTCCCTCTGGTATATCTGAGGATATAATGAAGTAACAGAAGATCCAGTCTATCCCATATTCCTTTGATGGTACCACATCTTCCTGACCTAGGCCTGGGTTTAAGGACTACACATGATTTGCACTTTTCATGTCTTCTGAAATTATATTCTTTGGTATTATATTGATTACAACTGACAATATTAAGAAAACATATTCTATCTGCTTATACATGCTCCCACATGCATGTACATTTACTGTGTGTAATGCAGTTAAATGAGGCAAATAATTAACTCAACTGTATCCAAGAAAGATGGAAAACATAATATTATTATGGTTTCTTAGCATCAGAGACCATGGAAGCTAAGAATATTTTCCAGCAGAAACAGACAAGAGAGATTTTAATGCAGGTTCATCTTTTGTCATGGTTTAACCCCAGACAGCAATTAAGCATCACCCAACCACTCACTTGTTCCCTCCAAGTGGGATGGGGGAAAGAATCAGAAGGGTATACGTGAGAAAATTTGTGGGTTAAGATAAAGGCAGTTTAACAGGTAATGCAAAAGCCGTGCATGCAAGCAAATCAAGAAATTCGTTCACCAGTTTCCAGGGGCAGGCAGCTGTTCAGCCATCTCCAAGAAAGCTGGGCTCCATCATGCATAGATGTTGCTTGGGAAGACAAATGCCATCACTCCCAGCATCCCACTTCCTTCTTCTTCCCCAGATTTTTATGCTAAGCATGACACCATATGGTTTGGGACATAGCCTGGGTCAGCTGGGGTCAGCTGTCCTGGCTGTGGCCCCTCCCAACTCCTTGTGCACCCATGCACCCCCCATCCTGCTCACTGGTGGGGTGTGGTGAGAGGCAGAAAAGACCTAGGCTCTGTGTAAGCACTGCTCAGCAGGAACTGAAATATCCCTCAGTTATCGGCACTGTTCCCAGCACAAATCCAAAACACAGCCCCATTTTAGCTACTATGAAGAGAATCCCAGCCAAAACCAGCACGTATTTAGAACTAGTACAGGCTGCAGATGTGACAAACTGAAGCAGCATTTCATAAGCCCTGTTTTTATTTTTTTTTAGGTAGGGTAGTTTTATTTCACATCCTGAAATAACAGATGAAAAACTTTGCTCCATTTTCATTTCTATTTATATTTATGTGGCTGTGCTTTTTTGTTTCATTTGTTTTAGAGCCTTTGGAGATCTTTCTGACAAGCCATTAAAGTTGTCATAACTTTTTATACATCACTGCTTTTGATTCTAGCCCTGTCTCATTTTTTTCCATCGTATTCTCCTGTCCTCTCTATCTCTCTTGCTGCTTTTTTTTAATGTTGTTGTTTTTACTCTAGCTGTTTTGCTTTCTGATTCATTATTCAAAATATTTTTTATGTTTTCTCCATATGATGAAGAATCACAGTGATGATTTACATGATATTTGCATTCTACAAATACAGACATTTATTCAAAATTGTGGGCAGAAGCCATTGAGTAATGTGGTTCAAGAGTATCTGCTGAATCCCTGAAGTTTCAGCAGAACATTTAAAATGTTGTTTAAAGTTAAAAAGACTGTCTGTAGTGTAGAAAAGATAAGCAAAAAGACCATTCTGAATTTGCTGTGAGAAGAAAACACAGTGGAACAAAACAAAGTCCCTTAATAGCAAAGCCTTTTTAAAATAAAAAAGGCTTAAAACTGGGGGTGTATTTATTAAGGCATGTGTTGCAGAAGCTCAACACTTAGACATTTTTACTCATGATCTCTTGAATAACTGTGAAATATATCAAATACATACTGCATATATATAGTATAGACAAACAGATACACAGACGTGAAATGTCTTGAGCAACTGGAGCTATTTAATATGATACCCCTGAATTTGTTGCACTTATATGGACAAGATTTTCAGAAGTGGTGAGTAATCTTGAGTGCTTACTTTCTCGTGTTGCAAAAGGACTTGTGCTAAGCTTCTGCTGCAGATTAGTGTCATCCCTATATTCCCAGCTGGGCATCAAAAATGGAAGCATACTTAATCAGTAAAAACAGCTAATTTTGCTTTAAAGGAATTTTGATAGAGAACATTCTCATCCTTTTCACATAGGGGCTTCTGATGCAGAAAGGTCAAAAAGACAAGGGGTTTGTTTCATAACAGGAGAACAAGACTAGTAAAAGGAATCATTAGCAGTATTAATTACTGCTCTTTCACTTTAGTAATGTCCATGCACTGGCTTGGCAGGATATGGGCAAAAATTTTCCATTTAATAATATGTTATCAATGGGACAAATGGACAAGAAGGTTCTGCAATATAGTCTTCACATGACTCCAGTGTAATTAATCTGAAAATGCAAGTGAGTTAATTGTAGAATGACTAAGTAACAGAGCTGTTTTCATTAGATTACATGGTAAGTCACATTTGCTAATTTGGGAATGATAAGCCCTTAGAAAAGTTATTAATTTGTTATTGAACACTGTCATTCCAGTTTCTGATGAGCTGAGTCAACAAAATATAGGTGTTGAATGGTTAAAAATGTGAGATAGCAGGAATTGCCTGTGGCTCATGATGGAATCTGACAGAGACTATTAATACTTTCCTTTGCTACCATGCAGTCATTCTATTTCCATTCTGACATCCATGACTGCAACATATTCCTCCAAAGAGGATGGCTTGCACACTAACAACTTAATAATAAGTTAATAATATCCTTAGACAAGGATTTAGGTTTTTTAATACTGAACAAAAAGAAACACTGCAATCTTTTGTTAATGTCTTAGCTCTGTCTACCCTATGTGTTGAGGTCCTTGTATTTTGTATGAACACTAAATGAAAACTAAATGAACAGAAATGCACCATCTTAACTTGTTGACTTAGTATTTTATAAACTGAAGCATGTATTATTAAACTAGATATACTTTTTCCTCACTGTAGTCAATGACAGTATTCCTAGTAGTGTTAGTCAGTGCAAGAATAGGCCAAAAAGCTGGTTTTGCTTGAATTAAGGAGGGCGGCAATAGATGATTTTTTCATAAAGCTGGAGCCTATTCAGAATGTTTGTGCCTTTTCTTTCTTTTTTTTTTTTTTTTTAATAAGAGAGCAATATGTATTTGTTTTTTTTTGCATGAAAAATGCAGTAAAACTTGACTAAAATATTTTAATTAGTCACTAAGGGACTGTACTAATGCCTTCATCTGTTAGATTAGAAGCAAAATGAAGGACTGTGTCAAGCAAGCTCAGTGCTCTGGAACGGAATGTAAATCTCTAACAGGGACTGTTCACTGCAATTAGGAATCAAGAGTTGTTTGAGACAGAAACTCTGTGTTAGTCTAGACTAAAGGCCTTCTAACAGAGATGATAGAAGGCTTCCTTTCAGAAATTAGATGGAGTTAGTAGTCCTTTGTGGTTTTCCACTTTCTCAGCAGATGGCCTGAAGGTCTCCAAAACCTAATTCAGTAGAGTTAATTTACTCTCTGATTTCTGAACACTCAGATTTTTTTTCAGATACCTTCTCAAAAACTAAGTGAGAGCTGAGATACTCATTCAGCATCTTGGTACTACCTTGATATTAAGGAAAAATGCTGGATATGTAACTGTGGGTGACGGATAGAAATAGTTAAGGAAATGGACCCAGGAGTTATCGCCCTGGTCTGGCTTAAGTCCTGGGAACAGTAAAGAAAACACCAGGTGCTCTTGCCCTGGACAGGCTTAAACCTTGGGAACGGTGAAGAAAACACCAGGTGTTAATGCCCTGCTGGGGTCTAAGCCTTGGGAACTGTAAAGAGAACAATGAAGGGTAAAGATCGGTTAGCCAAACAAAGCAGGAGGTTTGCAAGGCGGTGCATCTCAAAGACAGATCGAACAGTGTGAATATTTGTAACCCTTAGTAGTTTTGCTAAATCAGGATGATAAGGGAGTAAAAGAGTGGAAAGTTACTGCTTAGCACTTAGTAGACTATAAAAGGGGTGCGAGACACGAAATAAAGGTCTTCAGATTTCACCAGAGCTGGAATCCATCTTTGATACGCCACATGTAACACCGATTAAAAAAATGTAATGGTTTCTGTCAGTAATGATCATAATGTTTTAAAGGCATGAAGTGGGCATTTGATGGAATTCAGGTGCTTAAATCCAAAGCTGCAGTTTTGAATATTTTGCTCCATTAAGATATTTATGTGAGGTTTGCAAAAGCATTAGATCTGTGAATTACTAAGGTTTTAAGTGACTTGCCAAGTTTATATGTGGAGAATCAGTGCCTGAAGAAGCCCTGGATATCCAGAAGGACACAATGGACAAAATTCAGAAACAGCCTTGGACCAGAACATGGGTTTGACTCCCATTAACAAAAACCCTGGCTGCATCCTCCTTTTTTTTTTTTTTTTTTTTACTTATTAAGCTACTCCATTTCAGTCCATTTCTTCCCTGCTAACTTCAGAAAAATAGGCAGTATCACCACGTTCTTCTCACATAACCTGTTATTACATTATAGTCTAACTTATTACCACTTTAGTTAGGTGCTTTGTACTCTTTTCGGAGCTGGCAGCTTGTAGCTTTGCAGCCCCCAGATAACAAAGAACTTGAACATCCTATATACTTTTTTTTGTCATTTCTCTACTATCTACTCAAATTATAAGAGTATGGCTATTGCTTCAGACCAGAAGTTCACATTTTCTTCATAGAATCTGGTTATAGCTAGTTAATACCTACTGTTACTACAAAATCTAGTTTATACCTGGCTGGTTAGACTCATCTCTAATTAGCATCCCATTGTGAAGTGTGCAGCATCCTAACTCCAAAGAGGCTGTTTTCATGAAATGTTGAAAGTAATCATTCATTCCAACATGCTTCATAATTGTCAAGTGGTGTGTTTGTCATTTGATGTCAAGGAACGGCAAAATGCTGAAAAGAGGCAAATAGCTGTGTGATGATATATCGAAAGACGTGAAGCAAAAGAAATTGTTGTTACTTCAGGAAAATTACAAGCTATGATACATTTTACTATTTCATTTTAACTGTAACTTATCTTGAATGGTTGCACATTAATTACTGAAGTCATAGAATCATAGAATCACAGAATAGTTAGGATTGGAAAGGACCTTAAGATCATCTAGTTCCAATCCCCCTGCCATGGGCAGGGACACCTCCCTCACACTAAACAATGTCACCCAAGACTATGTCCAACCTGGCCTTGAATACTGCCAGGAATGGAGCATTCACAGCATCCTTAGGCAGCTTGTTCCACTGCCTCACCACTATCACAGTAAGGAGCTTCCTTATATCCAACCTAACTTCCCCTGTTAAGTTTAAACCCATTTCCCCTTGTCCTGTCACTACAGTCCCTGATGAAGAGTCCCTCTCCAGTATCCTTGTAGGCCTCCTTCAGACACTGGAAGGCTGCTATGAGGTCTCCATGGACACTATTCAATCCTTGAAAGCTTATTTGGGAAATAATATTGAATGACAAAAATTCTCAAAGATTTTTTTTTGCTTTATAAATTTACAAGTATTTTATAATTTCTACTATTGCTTTCCTTTGACACTGCCAGTAATTTGGATTATCACACTTTTTCACTAAAATTCAGTGAAAATTTCACTAAAATTCAGAATTTTATAATTTCTTAGGTGTTTATTATGTTTTTTTAAATGTTCCCTTTTCATATGTTTTTTGAAATTTCATAGTGGCTTATTTACAATTGGGAATACTGTAATAGTGGGTTATTAAAAATCTTTCTCCATTTTCCTTGAGTTAGTTTCAGGAGTAATTTGGATTAATAGCAAAAATAATATTTTTTAATTATAGAATAAACTGTCACTGAACTACTGTTGCCATTGCCATCTACACAGCGTGATATATTTCACAGGTGAAAATATGTATTCCTGATTTACAGAGAGGGAAATTGAGGCATGGGTTATGACTTACACTTGCAGAAACCAACATCATAAATGAAGAACTAAAACCTGCGTTCTTGTTCTGTTACTGGCACCCAGTCCACTTCATCATCCTGACAGATTTCAAACCATCTGGTGGGATTCCAGTTGAAGTTGTGGACATCAGCTTATGCTTATGAGGCAGCACTGGGTCTGACCTCAGTATAAATAGACAAGAGTGTTCATGGATAGGCTTGGATCTGGAGCTAAACTTAGAGACTTTAATCTAACATCCAGTTTTAGTGATAAGAAATACTAGAAACAGTCTCGCAGGTATGCCGCTTGGAAATGATCTGTCATTGATCTTCATTTCCATGGTTATGTTTAAGACTTAGAGCTTCAAACACATTTTTATGAATTTGTATGAATATTCACATTTGCAAAATTCATCCTATAAAGGTGTTATTCTGGGGGACCTTTTCTGATGCAGTAGGGAGGAACAAGGGCAGCATTACTTCTTGCTGAGAAGATAAAGGAAAATGGCTATCCTTTGAAATACATCTTGCTAGAGAAGACATGATTAGTGGGACAGATTTTGAATAAATTCTATGTGTCTGTAGGAGAAATATTCTTCTAACAGAAAATGTGCATACCCAAGGAGAATATTCCAAGTATGTACAGCCAGAGGAGTTACAGGGAGACAGAGGAAGGAGGAAATTATATCTAAAAGGATGAATGACGTAAGTTTACTTGGAGATGAGAAACAGACATACAGTATTTTTCTTAGTATATCCTAGATACATCCTGTGTTTTTCATTTCGTTGGCTTAAGAGAAATGCATTTAACTTTTATTTCCAGAACAGAAATCATGGCACAGAAGAGGAATGCTCAGAGTAGGTAGCATGAAAAAAGTGTCAGTGACTGAAGACATAATTCTCATATCAGATTGCATTCATTTGTCTATACTGATGCTGCAATTAATTCAAACAGTTCAGCAAACCCCAAATCTTTGCCTTTCAGAAATTCTTCTTTGCTACATTCAGAAATTTAGCAAAAGGCTTTTTTTTCAGAGACATTGTGAATGGCATGACAATGGATGATAGAAGAAGGTGACCTTCATTGTCTTCAGTGTCCTCTACATAATCAGTAGTGATGGCCATTGCTCATGACACCAAGAAGTTGAAAACAGATTTATGACTGATCGAATTAAAAAAGATAACATTAAAGAGAATTTGTTTATAGAATTACCTAGCAAATAAAGATTGTGATTAATAGATGAAGGTAGACCAATGGAAATACTGCAAAGGCCTGAAGTCTCTGTATTGGTGGTACTTAGTGAAAATGGCGCATTACTTTGTGTAGCTGTTGTTGTGCCTAGTGCATTCTTCTAGAATGCTAGTCCCCTTCAGTGATGCCACATATATATATACACATATATATATTTATGTATGCTGTGGGAGCAGTCAAATACTTCAGATTTGAAAGATCAGATATGTTACTGCTATTATTAATTTTATCATTACTAGCCAATCCTAGAGGCATTCATCACAGTTTGGGAACAAATGGGTAGAGAAGAAATCTGCAGATGTTATAAGTGCCCAGCTTTGGAGTCTTCACAGTGGTTTTCTATTCAGTGTTTTTTGAGTGTACAGGAAAACCTGAAGTAAATGGAACTGTTACAATTTTCTTTTTGTAGATCTAGAGGGAAATAAAAGAAGAAGAAAACAAAACAGGCATGCATAATACAAGGGATAGATGTACTTTTTTAAAAGAACCCCACCCAGAACCCCAGGCACTCATTCAGCTTTTGGATGAGTGTCTATCACTCGGATTAAAAGGATTAGGCATTTCAGATCTGTGGTTCATGAGTATTAATGGCCACTGATGATGCAGGCTAACATGTGCGTGTTCTTGTCACCTGAAAAATGATCCAGAGTTAGGTGGTTTTTGGCCATACCATAATAGTTAAAAGTACAGTCCAAGTTCTTCCTCCATGTGCATGTAAGTAGCCAGTGTCTCTTCCTATTTGTGTTATCCAATTCTCACTCTCACTCACTTTCCTGATGCTTGGTGATTGCTTCTTCAGCTAGCATGCTGGAAATGATGTCAGGCATTTTTGTAATGCCTAACATGGTAAGCCTCGCAGAATTATCAGAACATAACCACTGAATAATAATAATGATTATGTGATGTTTGAAATAATCTTAAAGCTTTTTGATCTCTTACTAAAAAAGCCACAGCTGTAAATGTATTTTTCAAGTTTCTCTGCAGATTGCTGGAGAACATTTGGTTTAAGCAGTAAAATGGATCAGAATAACATTTCTTCAAACACAGGTATGTAGTCCCTGGTTTCCATTGAAGTATTTTGCCAGCTGACAGACAACAGAAATTTAGTGACTTCAACAGTGTTATCTTTAGCATTAGTCTCTCTTAGCTGTACAACGTGGGTTACGTAAGTGAAAACCCAAACCAGCTGATCAGCTGACTTCACAGGCTGTTTTTCATACTATGAAATAGTAAACAGAGTAGCTAGGCTTATCCTAAGTGAATTAATAAAGATGTCTACATGGCTCATATAATCACAGAATCCACAGCTTCTCTGCAACCTATGACAGTGCCTCACCACCCTCAAGGTGAAGAATTTTTTCCTAATGACTAATCTCAATCTCTCCTCTGTCATTTTAAAGCCATTCACCCTTGTCCTACCCCCACATGCCCTTGTAAAAAGTTCTTCTCTAGGTTTCTTGTAGACCCCTTTATGTATTGGAAGACTGCTCTAAGGTCTCCCCAGAGCATTCTCTTCTCCAGGATGAACAAGCTCAGCTCTCCTCTCTCAGCCTGTCTCCAGAGCTGAGGTGCTCCAGCACTTGGAGCATATTCATGGCATCCTGTAGACTCCCTCCAACAGGTCCGTATTCCTCTTGTGTTGAGGGCCCTACAGCTGGATGAAGGAGTGCAGGGGGGGTCTCACCAGAGCAGAGTAGAGCATGAGAATCCCCTCCCTTGACCTGCTTGTCATGCTGCTGGTGATGCAGCCCAGGACAAAGGTGGTTTCTGGGCTGCAAGAGGACACTGCTGGATCATGGTGAGCTTTTCGTCACCCAACACCCCCAAGTCCTTCTCCTCAAGGCTGCTTT